CAATTATATATTATCAATTTCTATTTATTGTCTTAAATATCAAACCTTGAGCTTAAATTTTGATCTTGATCTTTTTATGTTTCAAATCGTTATAACAAGCTGTTTTTTCAAGTTCAACATAATATATCAAATGATTTATTATGTTTACATGCTTACTCGGACTATGTCTGTTTCTGTTAAGTACTCTGTACATTGCAGAAACAATTTGGGGGGGCGAAAGGAAAAACGTTGGGTGTGTTATAACATTTTTTTAGTAACTTCTTAAACTGCAAATAGAATAGTTGGAAGGTGTATAAAATGAGCTTAGAGATTTTAAGTAAAATTGATTTTGTAGGTTTATTGGTTAGGCAGTTAATAATTGAAGGTTATATTTTATATTTATTCTAAAGGTACAAACATAGGGGTTATTGGGTGAGTTGTACTAAGACTTTTGTAGGCATTAGATACCTGAATGAACTTTTTTACTTCCTCCTTGCTAAATGCAGAAATGGATCCCTGCCATGCATGAACGGTGGTTGGTGGTGAAAATGAATTCTAAACAGCATTTCGAATTGTTATGCAAAAGAATTTCAGAAGCTTACGAGGCTTCAAAACAAGCATTGACTCCACATATTATAAAAGTACAAGAGTTTGCCTATCCCTACTTTCAGGTATATATCTTGTAGTCTTCACTCTGCTTGTTAATCATCTTTGTTCCTCCTTTATATCACTCTTTTCGTTTATTTATTATTTTATTTATATTCTTTCTTTTTTCATCTTCCTTTTTGATGGGGGATAGAAAGTAAAACTGATCAGTGAACCATATGTTTTTCATGTCGCTACTGTGACAAAACCTCTTGTTGACAAAGTTTGAGTAGCATTAAATTCATACACACAGGAGTTAGTGCATGTTTGTGGAAATTTTATGCAATCTGAAACTACAAAACTAAAATTGGTGGTTTTTCATGGTTGTAATTCTGGATATTTTGAGAACATACTTTTCTATTTACCGTGACTTGATAGGAAGTGGTATTCGTTTGGGCAATTATGGTGACATGAGTCCCTTGATTTCGGTCTAGAGTTTATGGATCCAAAGTCCTGTATGGACCTGTTGTCAGGATACCAGTATTTCATGAGGGGTTTTATTTAAAAACAACTATTGTTAGGTCAAATATTTTTCTAATTTGAAGCAAAAGAGTGTACAAGGTTAGAGTCCTTTTTATTATTAACATTTTGAGGTTTGATTGATCACCTTCAGCACCCTCTTTCAAAAGCATGCTGAGTCTAGAAATGTTGGAAGATCTGCAGATCCGTATTTTCGTCGATGCTTTTAAATTTTTTCTGCATGCTAGTTAGAATATCTTGCATCTTGATGATATTTTCTATCTTTTCTGAAATAAGTTGGATCTTTACTTCTACATACATGTTTTTGGAGTTTCGGTATTCATATAAAGTCCTAATTGGCTGGTGAGATGCCAACTGTCTACAAGACAGAGTAAACAAACATTTATAATTAGTCTGGAGTTCATAGTGCTATTTTTCTAATTCCTAAAATCTCATTTTTTCTGCAATACCTGAAACTGAAATTGTGTATATTTACTTCCAAAGACCAGTTAAATTAAAATAACAGAAGAAGACGATTATTAACCCCTCCCCCCCCCCCCCC